ACTTCAAACAGCTTCAATATTGACCACGAATTCAATAAGGAAGCGTAAAGCGGAATGCACTTTTCATATTGCTGCAAACCAAAATGCTGTTTACACTGCTGTGGCTCTCAAATAAAGATTATACCAGCCTGTATGAAAGGAATCTACAAAAGACGGTATGAGGAACTGTTATATTATAGGCACTAGTTCAAGCGAACGGAATCGAGAATGTTGTTGAAGCTAATCTATATGTGTATGTAGTAGTAATTCGGAAATAGTATTAACTATTAGTTACCCCAAATACAAATGTCATTTATCTTTCACATCTTTTATTATTAAAGTGAAACTATTATTAGATCGCCTCAAATTTTTTCCTCCATCTATCGCATGTCGCATTATAGCCGACCGCGGAGTAGGGGTAAAACTAAAAGGCGCTCGGCAGAGCAGCCAAGGTCAATATGGCGGCGCCCATGGCTCGCATGAGCCACCCGCGTAGCATTTTTATTCTCACTCATTCGTGCAAGTGCATGACAGTTACATTTGTAGACTGTGAAACTCAAAGCGAAGATGAAATTATTGATAGACTAACTGCAGTTATTAAGATAAGATTAAGAACGCGATTTTAAATTTAATACCCTAAATCGAATAATTTTCCGAAAATTTACAGTTAAATGCCTACAATCTCAAAAGTTTAACTTGCATCGTGGTTTCATAAAATCACACAATGTAAAAATTATTGGTACTATTTTAAAAAGTATTATTTATAGCCACCATCTTTATAAAAGTAGCCATTGTGTCAGATGGCAGCACTTTATCCGTAAATTCTTTTATTGACATATTAGCTATTGTTCAGCTATAAAATCATAGCAAATCTAATGCGAGTAGCATGGCCTAGAGCAGGGGTGGCCAAGTTCCTTGATAGTCGGAGCCATTTTTCAAAATTTGAAATTTTTCGCGAACCGCAATTACATACATATTTAAAAGGAATGCAAAAATGGTATTAAAAAATGTTTTTTTATAGAAATTATGTTTATTGAAAACATATAAATGAAAGTACAAAGTTTGTGTATTGAATTTAAATATTAAAAATTAAAGACATTTATTTTACTTCTCTTGATTTTGAAATTTTGTGAATGATTGGTAACAGCACTTCTCAGTGATTCTTTCAGATGCTGGTCAGTTAATACTGATCGGTGTTTGGATTTCACGAATGTTAAAGTGGAATAAAATGATTCACACAAGTACGTTGTTCCGAATATTGAAATAAGTCGACAAGCAGCCTTTTCCAAATCATGATATTTCGATTCTGGTACAAATTTCCAAAATTCAGTGATCGGCGTCGACTTATATTTTAATTGTACAGCTTGATCTTCTTGTATCTCTATTAATTCTAATTTTCCAGATCCTTTTTGGGTCATAATTATATTGGAAGTTGAAAACTCACCTTGAATTCTGTTAATTTCAAATGGATTCAGAAAAAAATTAAGAGACGGTTTAAAATATTTCTTGAGTCTTGAAATCTATTTTGGAATTCCATCAATATTCTTTCCAGCTTTTTTATATACTTGAGTCTTTCTTGTTTAATATTGGAATAAATATTTTTAATTCGAGGAAAATGACAAAATGTTTTATTTTTAATATCCTTTTGAAAATGTTGTAACTTGAACGGAAATGAAACTTGTTACAACGTTGCACTTAGTCTTTCATATTTGTTGTTAGTAATTTAAAAGACATTTTGAAACACATACGGAACGATAATAATTTTTTAAAATATAATAACTCAAAAATGAAAGGGAAACTCGGGTTCATTTATCGAAAGTCACAAATAGTCCTTCAAAGAGTCGCAGGTTGACCCCACCCCCTTGGCCTAGAGGTTTATATCATCGCGGAGCATTCAAGAGTACATCGGTTCCATTCCGGGCGCGCTACCCTGGTTCAAGTTTTTCTGTGGTTTCCTTGGATTACCTAGGCAAATGATAGGGCAGTAATATTTAATCGATAATCTCTTTCACTCTCTTGTATCTTCATTTCGTCCTTTTTATCTTTCTTACTCCAACCACCACCACCCACGATTCCTAAAAGGATGCTAAAGAGGGTCTTCTGTTATACCCACCGGCGTGATACAACTTCAGTAGCTGGTGTGAATAAAATACACAAAAGATTTTTTAGAAAATCTAAATCATAATTGTTCATTCTTGTGACGAAGCTTAGATCAGTTACAAAAGTTAGAAGTTACTGCATGTAGTTGGTCGGATGTTCATGGTAAAACATGATGTTACTTTACGTTTTCGGGTAAGTGTTCTCTAAAAATTAGCTTCCTGTTGAGGGAAATTCTTTTTGGTACCTACAAGTTCCTTTTGCAATATTAAACACATAATTCATTTTGCACTTGACGTACCTATGGGAAGTAAAAATTCGAGTAAAGGTATACGCGATGTTTCATCTTTGAAAACGTAACAACTACGGTAAAATTGAAGTCCTTTATCTTCGCGAACGGAAATAAATCTTATTTTAAGCGTCTCTCGCGTTTCTAGGTAACTTAATATATCCTTTTCGGAGTCCCCGTCGAATATCCCGTTTGGGTGTTGTACAAGTATTGCTCCACAGATTGTGAGACACGTACACGAAGCTAAATCTCATTAAGTAGTAGTTTGTAAATTACATACGTGATAGACACCCCAATTCTTTTATAATATTTCATGCTTTTGCTGTAATAATATTTATTTTTATGTGGCAAAGAATTTTAAAACCTATAAAAACGTCAACTTCAATTTAAAGATCCGGGGGCCTATTTTCATATTTGTTATAATAACTATGTTTTTAAGTTGCTTTAATTCGGTATAATGAGGGTGGGATGAAGCTGAACCCGGCCCGAAAATCCTCTCCACCTACTCATAATAGCAAGGGTTAGCAACTTAAGAACATCGTTATTTTAAGGGAAAAAAAATTAAGGAAAGGCTCCCAGAGTGTGAGTTCTAGGCGGTTACCGCTTAAAGGTCCCCTCCACCGACTCACAATAGCGAGTGCTAGCAACTTAACGACATCGTTAATATTATAACGAAAAAAAGTTGAAAATAGGCTCTCATAGTACGAGTAGTAAACGGTTATCGCTTGGAGATCCCCTCCATCGACTCACAATAGCGAATGCTAGCAGCTTAACGACATCGTTAATATTATAACGAAAAATTTAAAATAGGATTCCTGAGAGCGAGTGCTAAGAGGTTACCGCTTATAGATCCCCTCCACCGACTTATTATAACGAGTGCTAACAACTAAACATCATCATTATATAAGTTGAAAATAGGCTCCCAGAGTACGACTGCTAAGTGGTTATTGCTTGAAGATCTTTTCAACCGACTCACAATAGCAAGTGCTAGCAACTTAACGACATCGTTAATATTATAACGAAAATAGGATCCCTGAGTGCGAGTGCTAAGAGGTTACAGCTTAAACATCCCCTCCATCGACTCATTATAACGAGTGCTATACTTCGTTTACTTTCTCTAGCGATATGCCCCTTCCAATGTCTCGGATGCGCGCTGGCAAAATCATAGGTAGAGAGAAAAAAGCTCATTATACTCTTGACTCTTGTTCATTAAACATACTTTTTCATACAGTACCTGCCAAAGGTTTTGTTCAATCATGAATAATAGTGCGAGTCGAAAACAAGCGTTAAAGCCTTTAATATGTCTTCAAATATAAATAAATGCCTCGTTGATATTTTCAGTAGTAAATGGTACCAATAACAGCACATTTGAGCAATGCAATTGTAGTGGATAAAATGATCATTTTTTCCGTGCAGTACTGTACAGATTATACTCTCCTCACCGGTTAAGAGTTTGGCCGAGAGTTGTCCCCTTCCTTTTCTGGCCTAGTGCTGTTCTTTTCTACTTTGCGCCAGTCAAACTGAAAGCCACATCGCTACAGAAAGTAAACGAAGTATAACAACTAAACACCATCATTATGTAAGTTGAAAATAGGCTCCCAGAGTACGACTGCTAAGCGGTTATCGCTTAAAGATAACCTCAGCCGACTCACAATAGCAAGTGCTAGCAAGTTAACGACATCGTTAGTATTATAACGAAAAAAAGTTGAAAATAGGCTCCCTTAGTGCGAGTGTTAAGCGGTTACCGCTTAAGGATCCCCTCCACCGACTCATTATAACTTGTGCTAACAACTAAACACCATCATTATATAACGAAAAAAGTAGAGAATAGGTTCTCGGAATATTAATATTTAAGTTAATATTTTCTCAGACCTCGTAGCTAGACAATTTCTTTTCACCAGAAAACAGGGACGTATAAGAACCTGTTGTACAAACGACAATTCTTCCAACGTAGACGATCATTTATTATTAATGATCGATACATCCGAATGGCCAAGTGATTTATTTATTCTGGGAACGTAAAGTTGTTGAAAAGAAACGTCAGTCAGGTGTTATCTATGTCTATATCCCTTATTTATCGTCCGATTTAAAGGATACCTTCTTTTCTTTTAAGGTATTCCTACGCATGAATGATAAACATGTTGTCCACGAAATAAACGTCAATTTCTAAGAAATAGTGCTACGATTTTCCTTCGCACTGCAGGGCTACAGGATAAACCACTCGTTATAGAGCTAATAACAGCACAATTGTAACTTTTTAATGTTATTATTTTATAGAATATGAAATTAAACTATCAGACAGCTACATAAGATTGGGCGGTTTTTGGTGGTAAAATATAGATATTCATCAAGCAACAATTACACAATATTATTTATTGACGTAATTATCATCATTTTATGATATGAATTTTTGTATGCTAGTATTGTGGAGTTTGAAACAAAAAATTGACGTATGCTTTTATTGGATCATCTCCTCACATGGTCGTCTAGAGATAAAATACTTAGATAACTAGGAAATTTCATTTTCCTGTCAGAGTTACCAATGGGTTTCTTTGAAATTTAGCTTCAGTTAATTATTTTATTGGATTATTTATTGGTTTCCCTCAAGGTGTTAATAATTCATTTCTTGTTTTAGATGTTAATATGGTGGCAGAACCAAAACCACACCAAACTGGAAGGAAACGACAGAATATGACAAAAACAGGCAACGATTGGTGAGTACATAATGTTTCAATTAAGAATTTCCTTTACATTTAACATCAACATTTTCTAAATAATAATCTACATTTAATTTTTGTGATTAATTTTAAAAATCTCCAGTAGTTCATTTCTTTACTTCTGGTTAAGTAACAACAGTTTTAAATTATTTGTATCTGTAGAGTACGTAATTATGAGCGAAACAGTAAACAATGGTTAACTCCACATAGGGTATATAAAAAAGGTTTTGTTTTTTTGGACGGAATATATAAGCATTCTTTAAACCTAGTTTATAACGATCTGCCAATAAAAATAATAAATAATCTTAAATTACTGTACTGTCAGAGTGGCATATTATTGGTGAGACATAGTAAGTGGAAAATGTATTTTTCGAATTGCATTTCTAGCAAGTGTCATTAGTACCTACATATTGAGCGATGTTCAGGAGTCATGTTGTGAAGTGCCTCTCTTGTTTTCATTAATGTTGGAACATATCTTACTTTTTTTTTCGATTTTGGGGGAAACAAAACATAGTCGGAGAAAGCGACAAAAATCTTCGAAACTCGATTTTAGTGACGGACGAACTATTTACATACCAACTCTTTTCCGGCGTATAAATTCCTTAAATATTTCTACCTTTATTCGCGGTTTTCTTATTTTCTGACAAAATGACTCCTCACTCGTTTCTTACATTATTATTGTACTATTGTGCCCTATTTCTCTAAAATTATCGTTTCAATATTTACCACACCTTGCAAACTTATTTGGATGATAACTTATCATATTGTAATGTTCGTGGGTTTAACAAAATTAACTTCTAAGAGTGATGACAAAAACTATTTTTTTACACTAATTACTAAAGAACTTAAAAACACTATTAAATTATTACTAAACTTAGGTTATGAATTATTTTATTTATTTATACTACTGTTTATATATCACTATTTATTTTACTTCTATCACTGCCAATTTATTTCTGGATTCATTTCTGCAACGGTCAATTTATTTCTTCGTTCTGTCGGTGATCGTCTCTTCCTTTAAATACTCTTTTGTTTACTTTCTGGAACCTTCTGCAAACATCCGGATAGTTTATTTTATTTTTTTGAATTGTTTAACCGCTTTCCCAGAACGCAGGTACGACACACACATTTACAAATGCTGTGCACATGAAGATAGGCGCCCGCAGCTAGTCGGCGAATCGATAAGCCGTTCACGCACACGTGTACCCGTTTACACACAAACAAACTTGTGCTGGCTACAATATTTAGATGATAACTTATCACGTTCCACATGACACAAAGATTTTCTCAATCTCAAAAGCATACCAACACTGAAATCGCGCAATTGCGTACTTATTTGTAATTCCACGCTGTTTATCTTTCATCATTTACCTACAACAACACAATATTCTATCAAATCTTGATTTAAGTTTCTCCAAACGTATCTTCCTATTTCCCGATTGTCGACCTTGGTAACATGTGCTATCCATTCGCTTTAATTATCTACGGAGATATATATCGACGTCGAATTGAAGGCTTTATCCCCAAAAGTATCGCAACCTTTTCACGCTCTATTCTCCTTGTTATATGTGGACATTCTTTATTTACCGGAGAAAGAGAAAAATCAGTTCCCTCATCTCACGCTTTTCATTTCTTTTATCGGTATCGACACACCCATCCACACCCACATACACACACGTATACATTTCAAGCGTTTGTGGCATTTTTTTTCGGCAAAAGGAAAGGACCCTCTAATCGAATCGTAAGAGGACGGAAGGTAACAAGGTCGAACGGATAACAGAAGTCCGATAACGGGAAATATGGTCTTCGATTTTGCCGAAGTCGTTTCCTAGTACTCAACCTCCCTCTCTCCGTTCCTCCTCCTTCTCATTTAAAACCTCTACGCTACTTCTCCCTTTCCCTCCTCCCGCAAGCTCGACCCCTCTCATCCTCAGATAGTTGACATGGCGGTTCGTGCTTCTGTCGGTGACAAATTACCTTGTTTATAAATGGTCGATGACAACTTGATCGGAACAGTTTAATATACATTGCGTATTGCCAACGTGCCTGTCTGCCTGCCTGCCTACTGCTTGCTGCTTGCCGTGTATGACGTGTACAGATAGAAAGATAATTCGACCGGATCGGCGGTGAAATTGTTACGATACGTGAATGGAAATTTATCGCGGTAAACTGATAGACTTTCAGCAAAATATGCAGCAACAACCAACGTAAGGGCTTTTTTAGACGGTGTGATTGCGATGCGATTTTTCGTTTGCGGTTTGTCGCAACGTTATCATGAACAGACAATACAACTACATGGAATTTTATGAGTAATTATCAAATAAGGGGCCATACATAAATTACGTCACACGTTAAGGAAGGGGAAGGGGGCCAATGAAATGTGACATTGTGTGACAAGGGGCAGGGAGGTCAAAAGCTTTGCGAAGTTACATGTCAAATCTAATATATTAAAATGCGAAATTTATATGGAAACAAAAACCTTAAAAATATTACTAATTCGATCTATATTTATTAATTATAAGGTTATGTTTAATTAGTATTTTGTTTTGTCACTTATCTAAAATATTAGACTTTATGTTAATTTTATTAAGTTTTAATTAAAATAAAAACCAAATTTGATTTTGCTGAATTGCTGAAAACTGATTTAATTATTTCTAAATATAAAATTGAAAAATGTTTGACGTTACACCGGGGGGGTGGGGGCTTGACAAATGTGACCACCTCTGACAAGGACGTGGAGGGGGGGTTAAAAATAATAAAATTTATGTAATGTAATTTTTGGATGATCCATAATGCCGAGGCGACAAGAGAAAGCGGAATTTTGTGGAATGATTTAAAATCGGTTATTATTTTATTGCAACGAAAATAAATACATATTTGCAGACATGCCACTGTTTGTTATGAGATTGTCGATGCCAACAAAATAACTCATCTCTTATCTGTAATGCTGTCACCACAGCTACATTTTAGTGGCTTTGAAGACAAACTGGACACAAACGTTTTCATTATAAATCGCTTGAAAGTAAATTTTATCGCCTTGTGTAAGTCTACTGTAAATGTTGCACAACATATCGCGAACGAAATATCGCATCGCAATCGCACCATCTGAAAAAGCCCTTACTGCTAGACAATATTTCAATACGAAAAATTATGTGTCACTTCAGGAAAGTTAAGAATGATGGAAATTTTCTTTACTTGTTGGAAGCTAAACACTCTACTTTTTAGGTTTGAGGTTAGTGGTTTGTACTCCGTAATGTTGTCTATTGAAGATGAAAAGCCTTTGGGCTTTTCTGCCGTGGTTGAATTCTGACTGCAGACGTTTCGCCATGCTTAATAAACGACATCTTCAGTGCTTCAAGATGTATGATCGGCGGTTAAATATTTAATGTGGGATATTAGGCGTACTTTTTATGAGTCTCGCAGTCACGATTGGCTGGTACTGGATTATCATCATGTTTCGTTCCACTAGGTTGCACCCTCGTTTGTTTATTTCTTAGCAGTGGTTTCCAGGCTCTGTTTATGTTTAATCCATCTTCCCGGTTAAGATTATCCGGATATTGTGCAATTTCTATGGCTTCTCTCCTAGCTAAATTGTAATACTTTGCCGTGCGCACTAACAGTTGCGTATCTTCGAAGGAGATCCTGTGTCCTTCCTTCCAGGAATGTTCTGCTAAATCTGAATTGACCGGTTAGTGTAACCGCAAATGTCTTTCGTGTTCCTTTTCTCTTGTTACGATCGTGCGTTTCGTCATGCCTACGTATACCTTGGAACAACCTCCGCAAGGAATCATGTAGACTCCTGGTGTATGTAGTGGGTTTAGTTGGTCTTTGGGGTTTCGTAGTAACTGGCGTATCTTCATTCTAATTCCATTTTTATATAATAACTTAAATATCCGATCCGTTACGTTGTGGATATACTCGTATGGCAAAGTTGTCGTGATCAAGGCTGACTCCTCCTTGTTGTTCCTGGCGTAGTCTTATTGCTCGTTCGATGTCCTTTCGAGTGTAACCATTAGCTAACAGTACGGTTCGTAGATATTTTTTTATCTATTGCTTTACAACCTAAAATACCCCTACGTTTCGTATTTCTTCATATAGATTAATTTAAAACGAAAATCACCCTCTGTTAACCGGCAAAGCTCAAATTTTCATCAATAATAAAAAACCAAAATAACCTAAGTCAACCATAACTTAACCTTAATGGTTAGTTTAAGTTAGGTTAGGATTAAATTAGATGACCTTATTGTCTTTTGCAATTTTTATCTCCTTCGCTCCACATGGACTTCCAAACACTTGCTTGTGATGTACACGATCGTTGCCACCACCGACAATCGGCTCATATACACGGTCATTCACCTTCACCTCCACTCTGACCACCAACTAATTCCAAAGAGCATGTACTTCAATGATCCTCCTTTATAATCCCTTGCAACCCTAACCCCTTGCAAGCTTCTGTCACCTCCATCTCCTCATCCTTGTGTCTGACTATCAATTAATTCCAACAGGATCGCGCGATTGTACTAACACTCCATTACTATCATTCGAAAGTTCCACCTTCTACAAGGGTGGAGTAAAAATATAATCAATTAGCAATATTTTTTTATGGTGAAGATACCATTGCGGCGTTCGTTTTTTTTTCGTGTTGCGAATCGCTTTAAAAATCGAAAATTTCCATCAAGCTTTCATATTGTTGCGAGATACGAACATTCGATTCCGTATCTTGTGCTCGTTATCAAGTACGAAAGACGTGTTCAAGAAAAATAACACCAATTGTCAGGCTTCGATCAGTAGAAAAGCGAGTGAATGTATACGCTCGTCGACCCCAAGCTGTGTCTTCGGCGACATTCCACGCGCCTTCTTCGATTCTTTGAACGTATAAGAAAGGAAACGCGCTTAATAATTTGTCTGCCCTCATGGACCGTTTGAGAACTGAGAGAGGACGAAAAAAATCTCATAAGGCGCAGATGCTGACAGCAATCTGGAACAAAAGAAAAAAT